AGGCAGGTTCTCATTGCACCGGTGATGCAAACACAGGCTAGTTTTTGTACTTTAGAGGTATTAGCTCTGGTAGTAGCTAAACTAGTTCCGCTACTCCAGGCTATAGCCCCGTAAGTGATGATTAGTCTCACTATTGCCGTATACACCCATCGCAGTATGGTTGGGTTACATCCCCATCGTTAATATACAATATTTAGATTAGGTAGTAAATGTTAATTAATGTATTTTAAATATTTAAGAACTTTTCCTTGGTCTGTAATTAGTGTTAGTTGCATGTTGTTGCTGATTTCATTGGATTTTCTTTCTTCGATACATGGGGGTGCATTCTATGAGGATGTATCTGATTTGCTATTATATACTTCCCCAGTAATTGTATTAAATATTAAAGTATGAACGAAGTTTTCTCTGTAGGGGTTAACTTATTTCTTTGAATAGTTTAGGTAATCAAAAAAGTGGTGGCCGAAATAAGCCATAGAAAGACTCGCACTACAATAGATTTCAAGTCTTGCAACTTAGAAGTATAGTAAGTACCGAATTTTAGCTTTCTGTGCATTTCAATATATACAAAACAAGAAGATGTTATAACATACTTGAATTAGAATATAAGAATACAAAGTATTTACTTATTTAAGTCACTTTATTTAGAATGGACTTACGTATTATATCAGGTTTTCATATCATATAAGGAGATGTGTTCGTGGTAAACTTTCAAAAGTATACAAGTGTACAGTTAACTAAAATTAAATTACCTTAGATGTCATGGAATTATATCCAGGCTATACAAAATCATTTTTTAAAATTGTGTTCTATTATTTCTATTAAATTAGTAAAACTTTCATCAAAAATGTTAGCTGTTCTGACCAGTTTGTTGGTCAAGACCTCCCTCCCTTGGTAGGATGCATTAAACAGAGATAACTGAACATACAACAAAAACTAATTAAAAAAAGGTATGTGAATTAAACTCTTTATTTTCTTCTACCACCTCAAGAGTTGTATTTGCAGAGTATTTTTCAGTACTTTATGGTTAGTTCCTACTAACAAACCTATAACAATAATTTTAAGGAATTTCACCTGTAGGAGAGTCAGTGCTCGCTACTAATATTTTTGAATTTATTGGGAGTTTGCGAGAGAGTTTCCTCCATGAAAATTCGCACATCTTCAACAACAGCTTCTGTTATTACGGTGGACTTATACAGGGCTTTTTTCCGTTACGAATGTAATTTTTTGGTTTCATATTTTGTTCATTTGAAAAACATTTCTTAAATTGTTGAATACGACTTTAAATTGAATCTGACCGAATTATATCAGAATTTTAATTTCTACTTCGAAAATAAGTTTTAAATTAAAAGAAACTGTTCGGGATTCAATATATTTATATAGGCAATAAACTTCTACAAGTTAAAATAAACAAATTTGCAATTAGTAATAAACGTATTGTTTTAAAAACTATCAAAAGAACTAAACGGTTTATTGATATTGAATGAAACAGTAAATAAAATCGTGTTGATAAAATGTAAACATATCATTAACCTATAAATATCTCCAAATGAACACCACTGACACTTCAGTTGAAAAGGTTTTTTTTTTAAATTTCTACTCGATTTTTCGGATAAATATTGAAAGAGAGTGGAAGATGAATGAAATGCGGCCGATCCGGTCCTGCAAGTGTGGAGCGATGTGACATTTTTCATTCGTTTAATACTAATCGATGATGAATAGTCAACGGAAGAGACTGGAAGGGTTTTATTGGTACAAAGCATTATTTATGTTGGATTAAACATGAATTCGGATTAACGTCGGATCAATTGTGGAAACAACGGTGTGCATACATTTTTTTTTTAATTTTCAACATTTACACGTTACAGTGTAAAATCACTATGTAAATGATATGTCAATTCGTATCAATTCGTATCAATTCTAATTGTTACATTTTCAATCGCCGATTTTTGGATATTCGCTCGGATTTTATCATTCTTTCATGATGATGTTTGGTTGAAAACGATCAAAAATATATTTAAAAAGTATACACTGTGTGGATAGAAAAATTCAAAAGTGTTTCATTATGAAGAATTAATAATTTACTAAAGAAGGTACTGGATATTGATGTAATATTTCTGAAAACACCAAATTCCAATTATGAACGCCCAGTCCCTAGATTAGATTTGTTTAGGACTGTGGGTTATGTAGACACCCCCATTTTGACTGTTTCAGATCTATTGTGAATATCCTTTTAATAATTTGTTGTTAGATTACTTTGTACTTTTAAATGATTGACTCATCTTGCGAAAATTAATAAAATGACAACCAAAAGTACAATAAAGTTTTAAAAACAAATACAAAATCAATAAGAAATAAAAAAATGAGATAAAAGTGAGATAAAAATTAATAGTAAATGAAAAAAAAAATAATGAGATGGTTGAGGCTGGTGAAATATTAACAAATTGTTTAATGTCGGGTTCCAATTTCGTTAACATCGATCGCAGATCGCCACGTTCAGTGACGTGTAGTATGTTCCTCTTCTTTGGGTAGAGGTAGAGAACTAATATAGATTTTTGTAGCAAAATGCTTGATATCCATAAATTTTATATTAAATTCTTCGTCAGTTGCGAGTTCTACAAGTTCCTGGTGATGATAGGGTAGGCATCACCTCTATTGATTGCCTTAACGCCCCCCATTTTCCTCTGGATCTGCTACCGCCCCCATAGAAAGTTCCAGCGCCCACTGGGGAATGGTATCGCCCCTGTTGGGAACCTATGCTATATACTAACAAGTAACTCTCCGGTGTAGCCAATTGTCCTTTTTTCTTCAACTGTCAGGAATCTTAGACTTGATATAGATTCGTTTTGGCTGGTGAATTATTCCATCATTAAAAAAAAGAAAATAATTCCAACACAAATGTAACCAAGCCGTAAAATAAAATAAATAAACTCAGTCATATGTCACAAAATACGAGCGACCGTTACCCTTCGGAAAACAACTATTTTGGCTAATACCGCAACATGTAATGAATTACATTTAAAGGAAAGACATCAGAGATAGAAATTAAATTTCAACACTCTACCTTTGATTTTGTTTACCACGAATGTTATTATGAAACTGAAAATAAACAAGTAATTAACAAATTATTGTATATAAATTGAGAAAAATAATAATTATAACCAATTTTCTTAGTGTTCCCATAATTTAACACGTTTAAAGCAAATTTTTAATACCTCTCTAAATCTTAATTACAAATATACCATCGTCGGTTTTGAACATTTTGTTTTGACAGGTTTGTAATCCATTTTACCAAAATTACATCTGCATAAACCTCAATTTGAACCCCAAGAAATGCCTTTCCGTTTCCCAAAATAATGACAAACATTAAGTAATTCCGTACTCTTACAATCGGTCCATTATTAATCATGACGGGTAATGCATTTCCGTTAAAGCTGGGAAACTTCATCATATTAGTCTCATTTCCTTTTCGAAAGACAACGCGTGGAGAGTACGCAATAGCACCACGTCTCCTTATTAAGTCTGCTTTTAGCGTGTTTGCCCTTTAAAGATATTAACGAGAATTAATTCAATTTCTACGGTCGGTATAACACCTTTTATGATACGTTACCACAAAATTAAGTTTTGTAGAGGGAAATTCTTTGGGTTCATCTGTCTTTATGGTTTTGGAACTTCATAGGGAATTAATATTCGGTGTCTTTGAAGTCGAGAGACTTTTAAAAGGCACTTGGAAGACGCCTTCTAAATATGTCTCACTTTATATATTCCAGAGCGAAATAAGTGATTGAATAAAACTTAACGTTCCGTTGCAAACAATAAAACAACTAGAAGCAAAAGTTGGAAAATTAAAAGTAGAACTGTTGGCAATAATTTTCCGCAAAAAAATGGCTGCAAACCAGAAATCAAGAAAATAAAAATATATACAATATTACTCTCTTAACAACTAAAAAGAGATATACAAGAACTCAAAAATGCATATTTTAATACGTATCTCTCCGCGAACTACCACACTACAAAGATAATTACTACTAGCTATGGAAAGCAACAAAGAAATTAGAGAGACCAATCACCCAAAATCCCTTGAGAAGTAGGAAAAGCTGAAGGTGGATCTTCTTGCAGAAAAACTGGAAAAAATTTTAGAAAAAACATCAATAGAAGAGGAGTACCTACATTGTCCAAATATATTGCATTCAATATGGTTTTGAGAAAAATAATTTTAAAGATTTGTACCTTTTTAACATCATAAACGTACAAGTAAAAATTTGAGGGAACAAACATTTAAACTACATTTTTTCAAAACCATTGTTGCTGAAGTCGAGTTTAAATTCGTTAACTAAGTTGGAAAATCTAATTACCTGCGTCAAACAAAACTAAGTTGAAAAATCTATTTACCTGCGTCAAACAAAATGTATTTCTATTGTAGAAAACACTTTATTAGCTATAAATGAATCAATAAAACTAGCACCGTAAAAACTTCACTTGTAGTAAGTTAACACAGTTAATACCTACTGAAACTAAAATCACTAACCGCAAGTAAATAGTTCACTAAGAGTAGGTCGTCTAAAAACTAATTAAACGGTTCACTAACCATAGGTGCCTTATTTCCTAATTCTCGTTTTACCTACCTAAAATAAACATTTTATTTGTCCTATAAACAATTTTTTATTGGCATTATAAAAAAGTTCGCTAACAGTTCGTGTAATCTTGTTAATATTTATATAATTTAAATTAATAATGCATAAGTTTTGGCATACTATTGAAATTTTAAAACTGAATGCTGCAATTTATTTAAAAAATATGGTAAAACACTATGGTGAATTAAACATGAAAAGGGTTTTGTGGGTTAAAAATCCCCCCACCCCCCAACGGGGGCTTTCTGCTATCTTAGTGCCGCTGATCGCTATTCACTGTTTGTTAACCCCCTCCCCCATAGTTCCTAAAAATCCCTATGAAAAATGTTTAGCTACGCCACTGGTTTTATCAAATTTTCCATTTTGTTACAGAACAAAATGACCCCTGCAGAGACAAGGAATGCAACTTTGGTTCACGCTGCACAGTAAACCCTGATGGTCGTAATGCCACCTGTGTTTGTCCTGATAAATGTCCAAATTACGGAGACCACACTACGTCTAGAGCTGTATGTGGTTCCGATGGTGTCAATTATGGAAACCAATGCGAGCTCCAACGAGCAGCTTGCAACTCACAAACAAACATCACCATTAAGTTTTATGGAAAATGCGGTAAGTTGTTTTTAATATTTAATAACATAAATAAATATACTTTATAGACTGGGACACGTCATTTTTGTCATTTGCAGCAGCGTTGTCAAATCATCTTATTTTCAAAATTGCATAAACTAAAGAAAAACACGATACATACGAAAGAACACAAATTTATAGACTCAGTTTCATATGGAATAGATTCACCAGATATCATCAAAGATGTATTGTTCTTTATATATTATCTAATATTTTTACTACAGAATAATAATAGTTTGGATTTCGAAGCATTAATGTGAAGGTTATGATGAGACGAATAGTTATCAATTTTTTTAAGATCTTAATTAATCTTATCGACTGCAGTAATGATTTCATTCGGCGAGAAGTCGAGGAACAGCTGAGTGTCATCAGCAAAAAATTGGACTGCACAAGTATTTACGTGTTTGTAGAAATCCGAGGTATAGAGTAAGAAAATCAGGGACCCTAGGACTGAACCTTGTGGTACGCCAGATTTGATTTCAATGGATGTTGATTTCTGACCGTTTACTGTAACTAACTGTGATCGTTTACTTAAGTATGTTTTTATGAAACCTATTTAAATTCTATCAAATCCATAATATTGACACTTGGATACAAGAAGACTATGATTAATGCTACCCTTTGCTAAAATCTAGTAGAACTAGGACAACTGCTTTTTTCTTATCAATACTGTTGAAAATATTGTCACTTAAATGTGCCAAAGCTGTTGAGGTACTGAAACCCTTTTGAAAGCCCGACTGATACAAAGGGATTATATTGTTTTCACAAAGATATTCGTAAATTTGGAAATATTCTGCACGTTCAAGAATTTTTGAAATTAGAGGCAGACTTATTGGATGCAGTTCATTATATGAACTAGGATTGTGCTTTTTAGGTAAAGGTATTATCAAAGCTTGTCTCCAACATTCTAGGAAATATCCTTTTTCTAAACATAAGTATATAATATGTAGCAGATAAACATCAATAATATTTAGACACAATTTAACATTGGCATGTTTATATTGTCATTACCACTAGCATTTGATTTTATATTCAAAATGATAGTGTAGTGTTGAGATAGTTATTGTTTTGAAGTGAAATTTATTATCTCTACTCTCTTCTACAGAATAAAATTGAATCTAAGCATTTTTCATTACTCTCTTGGAACACATTAATTTTAAAGGGATTGGAAAGTGAGGAAGGTAAATCGATATTTTTTGTCGATTGAATTTTCATTTGTTTTAGTTTAGCGCTTTGTAAAATTTAGAAGACGACTGATTAAAAATTCTTTTTTTTTTTCTATTCTATTTTGTTATGAGTGACACAATTGATAAATTTTTTTTTAGTAGAACTACATGCTCCAGGATTGTGCTCTTCTGAACATGCCCCACATTTTTGTACAAAATATTTTTCTGTGTGACCAAAAGACAAGCATTTTTTGGACTTCAAAATTCTAATATGATGGCTAAAATAACATTTTTTCCATCCGATATATAAAGAGCGTTTTGAAAAAATGAAATTTTTTAAAGAAGGTGTTAGTTCTAAAATTAGATTGAATTAATTCAGTTTGACTAAAGTCTTCTAAATCATTTATTAAAAAAATTACTGAATTGTTAAACTTTCCACCTAAGAACGTACTGTATAGCTTGAATTACCAATATATTATAGCATGGTTGTATATGAGTGTAAATTTCCAATAGCTGGATATAGAAAATCGTATGACTGCATTCTGATCGAACATCATGACAATTTCAAAGTCGTTAAATTGAACCGACAGAAACACGTCAGTGTAAACTAACATTAATAAACCTCATTATTTGTATGATTGTGTTTGATTTCAAAGCTTGATAAAGCTTGGTTGTCACAGAATATATATTATTACCGTCTTTTTGAAATTACCAATTTGATCAAATACAATTAACCAAAATTCGTATACTAACGACATTGTGTAGCAGTAAAGGATAGTGAGATACAAATAACAAAGCTAAAATTAAGTAAATAATGTATGATGATCCTCTTCTTTGTAAAATCTCGCAATATTTATTTAATTAATTTATCACCTACTATAACATTTGAGTAAGAACATGAAAGCAAAAACAATTTTACATTATCGACCATTACTTAATAAATAGGTAATTTGTTAACCGCGATGAAGAATATTCTTCTATTTCCTGAAATATAAAGTTTAGTATGTATACAGAGTCATAACTGTTGGAAGAGTGCAGGATATTTGGACCAAAATATGAGGATTGGACAAAATATTCGTTAATAAATGGACACTGAGGAAGAGTTTAAAGTTAACATATTTTTTTTTATTTTTGGTAACAATTTGGCAAAGAGACATACCTAACTTTAGACACTTTACATTTTGTTACATGTTATATTTCTAGTGATAAAATTAGATCATATCTTCTTTGACGAAACTCTTTAGTAATTTTAATTACAAACATTTCTATGTAAAATCATCGTTACATAATTATACATTTCAGAGTCTCTTAGAAAAAATAAATCCACAACAGAAAGTTGTGACCAATACTGTAACAGATATACAACTAGCTTTTTCAAATGAACAATCTACATCCGCTTTATTTTTATATTTAAAAAGTGCCTGCAATAGTGAACCTAATTATTTTATTCCAGAAAATGTGTACAATTTGAAATCCGTTTGAGTTTTCAAAGCAAATCTGTTCCCTTTACATTTACAGAACCATTATTAACAGAATCGATAATAAGTATTCCAAATCACGTCAAACAGCTTCAGGATTACCGCAAGGAGGCATACTTAGTCGTTTACTCTATATTATTTCACATGACATGGAAACTAGCATCCCAAGAAACATTTCTCTCCTTCAATATGCGGATGATATCGACCCGGCATAAATCGATAGAGAGCTTCCATTCAAACCTTACTACTGCAATGGAACACTTCGATAATTCTGTATTCAATAATTGACTGAAAATATGTGAGGAAAAATTGGTAATAGTAACATTTACAAGGAAAAGATATAACCATCCAAATACACTAAAAGTAACAAAGTAAGTTCTTAGGGATGATGTTATCCTACAAATTTAATGTAGTTGACAACGTTGCCGGGAGGTGCTTCTCTTAAAGAATGCAAGTAGCTCTCAAAATGGTAGAACAGTGGTGCAAGGACCATTCACTGTCTATCAACCCCAAAGAAGACAGAAATGGTCGTTTTCACAAGGAAAATGATGAAAATGAAATTAAAATCTCCAGAGCTCCTAAAGACAAAACTTAATTTTGCAACAGAGGTGAAGTACCTAGGTCTCACCTTTGACAGTAAGTTAACATGGAACTCACACCTAGAAAAAGCATACATTGCTTATGAACAATGCCATTGAACCGTGAGGCACGCTTGGAGTCTCTACCCCAGAGCTGTTGCATCGACTTACACGGCCATTATAAAACCTATGCTTACATATGGTACAATTGTCTGGGTACCAAAAACCCAAAAATTGAAAGCTGTCCGCAAACTGCAAATTGAAATAACAGCGTGTCTCATTATAACAAGATCCATAAACATTACACCGACCAGAGCCATGGAAATCATTCTCAGTTTCACTCTCTTTGATATTTACATCAAGGAGGTTGCTCTAAAGACAATGACACGCCTCCGCACGGTTGTAATAGAACCTGATTTAAGATCTGGTGGGGCGAGACGTTACTTTTGGTAGGAGGCGGCTTAATACGCTTTCACTGCTTCAAGCGAACATGAACTCCATCTTGTTGAGATATATCTTCCATGCGTCATATAAAGTTAGAAGAGAACAAAGAGAAGTGCCGGAAGTGACAGGTACGATTCATATCTACACCGACGGTTCTTAAACAAAACAAGGCTCAGGATGTGGAATATACTCTAGATCCTCAAACCTAAACATAAAAGCAGTAGCACCAGTGTAGTTCAAACCGAGCTCACGGAAAGCTCACAAAAGAAAGCACCAGAAATAATATCACTGGAAGGAATATGGTCATCTATACAGATAGCACTACTCACCCTGGATATACCATGAATTTACTCAGGGTTAGTAATGGAATGTCACGAAGCTTTGGCCGAAGTACCCATCAACAATGTGGTCAAACTAAGATGAATCAAAGGTCACGCCATATCGAAAGGTTACGGTCTTGATGATTCACTAGCCAAGAAAGCAAGCAACCAAATACTTTTTAGACCTGGTCTTTCTATTGGTCAGTGACAAACCTAATCAAATAACATTATTTTGTGAAATTCAAGGAAACAAGAAGCTGCAGACTTGCCAGGGAGCTTTTAAGTTGTCCTGCCAACACTACAGCCAACAAATATTTGACTATGACTAGACAGAATGTGCGCCTGAAAACAGTCATTCTGACTGGTCATTGCCAAGTATGGAAGTATCTCCATATCATGGGGCTTTCAGAAACTGTACTCTGCGGGGAGTGCGAACAAAAAGATGAGACCATTGAGCATATCTTCTACGATAGCCAGACACTTTCATTTATTAGAAGATTTGTGTTCGGTGAGAATTGGGTAATACCGGCCGATATAAGAGAAGCGCCACTTGGCGACATTGTCAACTATATTAAATCTAGCTCATGAGCTAGGAGGTGACTATCTACTTAGGTGGATGCATAATGGGCCTAGTGAGACGTAAGTGCCATGTATTAAAACACCCTTTACACGTTACAGATAGTAACAAATATATTAGTGATGAAATTGCCGATTTACAAACACATAATGTTAAAATGTAGCATAAATATATTAAAAATAGGTAAACGTTATCAACACTTAATATTGCAAAATGTTAAATTTCCCATAAACCTAGAACACCCACTGACATTTGAAGACGATAGTATTTATAATATATTAATATGTAAAAATTACTAAGCAAAATATTTTAGTAGCAGTGCTATCCTTTAAGATAAACTTGTAAGTCTATTATTAAAAAAAAAATAAAAATTAAAAATAACAAAAATACAACAAATATGTACATCATATAACTAACAA